AAATGTTTGATTTATTTTAAAGGTTTACAAATTTAAAAGACAAAAACATCAAAATCATCTGTAATCTTTTAGAAAACTGACATTTATGAATGAAAGCAGTTTCTGCATACAGATGACATTAACATTGCATGTTAGGATATAAAATAAGGTCAGGTTTATTTATTAAGCGCTTTTCGTAGACAGGCAACAAAGGTTAAAATAAAGAAAACAGTAAGTAATAAAATATAATCAATGCAAATTCAAAACAATTCAAAAGTGTTGATTAACTGCTTTTTAAAGGAGTCAACAAACGTAGTTGTGGTGGGAAACTGTTCCACAGCCTTGGTGCCACAGACTGAAAGGCTCCGCCCCCTTTTCACCAACCAACAAACTGTGAGCAAAGACAGCGAGCAGCAGTGTAACAATAATATGTTTAACATACGTCAGAGTTGGCTCAGAGCGATCCTGCCACAGCGAGTCCTCGTGTGCAGCTGCTAAGTGACGAGGGGCGTATGTGTGTTGATGATGCAAATAACGCACACATGCAAACACAAGCAAGGAGACCAAGCAGAAAAGGGACGAATAAAACACGACCTAGAACATGTTACGAGTAAATGGTGACCTCATGTCTCAGGATAACTCCACCTGAAGACCTGAAAGCATTTTGCTAATGACGTGTTTACAGTGTTCAATACTCTTAAATAAAGGGTGTATTTGATGGTAATTATTATACAGTTTGTCGATTGCTGTTCTTCATTCTTTTCAGACGTCAGACGTCTATTTTGTCGTCACACTGTGACTCAGGTGTGAGCCCACTGGACAGCTTTAGTGGACAGATGTTAAACTTTAACAGTATTAAGTTCTGTAGTTTTTCCTGTTGATAAAGACTCCCACCACTCATTGCACGACAGTGCTGTCAGGGTCCCGGGTCTCCCCACCCAGCGTGTTTAGTTCTTCGTGATTTTTGTATTATTGTACGTGTGTGAGTTATTCTATGGTTTCTAGTTTCGATCCCTTGCCCTTCATGTTTCTCTGTGTCCCCTCTGTTCTGTCTGCATGTTTGAGTTTCCCTCTGTGTCTTTCGGTTCTTATTCCTCTGCCTTATGGTTTATGTCTCTGTGTTTCTTAGTTGCTGTCTCCACCGTCTCAAGTTCGCGTCTCTGTGTCATACTTCCTGTTTTACTTTGAAGGTCCGTGTCTTATGTGAATGTGTCCTGCTTTGTTTGTCTCGTCAGTCCTGATTTCTCCCAGCTGTGCTCTCCTTCTGTGTCTCATTCCCCTCGTTACTTCCCAGTGTATTTAAACCCTGTTTCTCTGAGTCAGTGTCGCGTCGTCCCTCAAACTGTGTGGATCTCCCTGTGAGTTTAGTTTGTCATTCTCCAGTTTAGTATGCTTTTCCCAGCCAGCAAATAAAGCTGTGGTTTGAGTTCATCCCTCATGTCTAAGAGCCTGCATTCCTGCCTGCATGACAAGTACGAGGACATTTTCTGTGAATAAATGAATTTTCTACACATTTATCTTTTTATGTCCCGTCCGGCTCTGCAGCAATCACAGTTATTGTCCGAAGGACAAGAAAAATACCCAACAGATTTATTTTCCCAAGTAGGCCATACTATACTACTACTACTACTATACTGGTTTACTTGATTGTCATATTTTATTTGACCTTTATTATAATTATTTATTTATTTTTATTTTGAGTTATTACAATCCGAATGCACAGGAAAGAGGAAGAATGAGAGGTGAAGGGTTTCAATGAAGGAGGAATAAACTGCTTGTGGCCTTTTACGTGATAACTTATGGTAACTGCAGCTACTGCACGTAGCGCCATTAAAAGTGTTGCATAAAGCAGCTCCTCCTCATCCTGTTTCTTCACGTGTTTGCGGGACTGACGACTCACCATGACACATTATTTTCGTGTAAAAAGATGATGTCACCGTCCTGACCCATGCACTAGATGATTTCCTAATTCCTCGTCTTCCCCGTTTCAATCTTGCTCTTCCTGTTTGCTTGAATGTGGGCGTGTCGCTGCCCTCTGTACCTGCTGAGGGTTGAACCACAGACAGTGTTATGGTACCTAAAGTAATCCATTGAACCTCTGACTCCATCTTAATCTCACAAATCCTTCAGTCACGTCTCCAGGTGGGCCACACCTGGACGGGTCACACGGCTGTCTCAGTGGAGACACACAGCCATTCAGCTCCATGCAGGTCCTCCCACAGCACTTTGTGTGTGTTGGATTCAAACCCAAGACCTTCCTGCTGCGAGCCCATGCTAACCACAGCACCACTACTTTATGCTTTATCACCTAATGTGAGCGCGCCTCTGCGTTCTCTGCCGACTTCATTAAACACACTAAAGCTGCTGTTCAGAAATCAGTCAGCTGATTCTGAGCTCGTCACCACAGGTTCATTGTTTTAACAAAATGATTTTATGATGATTTATCTGTTTACAACACTGGAGAGAACAATAACAATGTAGATCCTAATGAAAAACAGTTTCTGTCACAGTGACACGAGCAGGAGGAGGCTCTTGTATCGTTGAGCTGCAGAAGAATATAAAGACATAGATGCCCGATGGGAGCCCGAGTTAATGACATGATGCAGCTTAAATCTAAAGTTTGAATGTTTCACTGATCAGTGTCAAAATCCACCCAC